CCGAACCTAGCAACCATGCCATAATATTCAAGCAATTTAAGACGTATCGCCTCTAGGGGATGGCCACTTTAACCCACGCTGGATAGGTCCGGGCAGCATTTCCGGCATTTCCACCACTACTGCTACTGGCCGCCTCCTTGTGAAATTGATATTTAGATTTAAGTAAAAGGTAGTGCCTAGGGGGGGTGGCTAGTAGTAGTAGTAGTAGTAGTAATAATAATAACAATAGTAGTATAGGATGACCCTTGGGCCAATCATATTATCGGTAAAGGGGGTGATGGTTTTGAGCTTAGGGATAAAGATGTAGAGTTCAAGGCCTATGGGTTAGGGATTCGGGTTTAGGGTTAACACGCTCAGGATACACTCTACCTCTTGCACTCAAGTTGTGTGTGTGTGTGTAGAAAGCATGGTCTCCAGCCATGGCCATGCTTGGGATTGATGTGCCGCTGGACGCAGGGCAAGCTATCTGCTGACGGACCTACCGAGGTTACGAGCACCAAGTTTTCGCCTTTGGCCACACGTGGCGGTTGCGGTTTTGTAGTCTTTACAGTTTCGGTTCGATAATGTGTCTTGGGCATTGCCTCGATTCGGGCCCAAAGGGCGCTGCATTAAGGAAGGCATCGTGACATTCGATGCCGCGCGCAATGGAGACATCATCTCTAGCGCTGAGGAAGGAAGTAGGAGAAGGAGTAGGAGTAGGTTGAGCAGGAGAAGGAGCAGGAGTGGTGGTGGTGGTGGTGGTGGTGGTGGTGGTGGTGGTGGCGGCGGCGGCGGCGGCGGCGTCTGCGGGTGGTGGCGGTGGTGGCGGCGGCAGTGGGCAGCAGCAGTAGCATTGGCAGTGGCCATTGCACCTCGGATCAGCTTCTGCTGGAACCCTGACCCTCTCCGCAATCATGGAACCCTCCCTCGCGCAGGGAGGTATGTGTAGTTATTTAACACCATATTTGATAAAGCGGTTGCAGAGATCATGCGGTGATAGCAATGCCATGGCCTTGAAATTCCAACAAAAAACTTGCGGGTGGGGGAACCATAAAACTTCTCGGTCAACAGCCCAAAGGCATACCGCCATCCACGCAGGTCATAGGCGTGCTCTTCCGCCTGATGACCACAGTAGAAGGCAACCGTCCTTGGCTCGTGCGAGGGGAACTCAAGGAATGTCCTACCGTAGGATACTCCAAAGAAGAAGCTTGCTCAAAGCGCCACCCCTCATAGCAACAGGTGTGCACCTTCCTGGCGCTACAGCATGAAATCATCAAGAACCTAACTACCTGAGACCCGAGCTTACCCCTAAGTACTGACCTGTTCGTTCCTTCATGCGGGTTTTGGTCACCTGACACATGGCATCAACGAACCACTGCGAGGACTGCAAATCTGGTAACTAAAGACCAAAAAGACCCAAGAATCAGCCATCCCAGAAAATAGGGGTTCTGGAGAGGTCGGGATGACCGCCGCACGGCGAGAAGCAGCAAACAGACCACAGGACAAAGCACCAAGCTGACGAACGGCCAGTTCGCGTCAATCCTGACATGTTAAGCTAACCCAAAGCGCAATGTCTCCTTTGGCAATATTGGTTTGAGCCCATAACGATGCAGCAGCTTTTCTAAACAAAGATGCTCCAGTTTCAATTTAAGCCCAGCAAACAAACCAAAAAAGATGTCTGCTTAGGAAGCTGTGAGAATCCATGAAGCATCCTTGAGTATCTCAGGCCCTGAGTCCGCGGTTGGAACGGGGTTTGGGAACGGATGAATGGCGCCCACCATGGCAACAAGGAAAAGGCTTCGAATGGTGCGATGGCCTGAGAGCCAAGTTGGCTGTTGCAGGTGGCCAAACTCAAGACTACGCAGAGCACTCAGACCACTCGTTCAATGCAAGTGGTTGTTCATGACCTATATGTGCAGTCTCACAAAACTTCTGGGCAAAGCCAGACTGGCAGCACATTTCTTCCCACCGCCTGGAATCCAGGCAGTTTTAAAGGCCCAGCTTTCATCCCAAGTTCAAGCCCTCGCAACGCACCCCGCCTCTGATGCAGACAGGTGAAGCGGTGTGTCCTCGAACAAAGCTCGGCGAGACCGCAGTGGATTCCTGACCCTTAACGGTCTCAAGTAGCATGTTTAGAGCCCTTTGCTTACAGGCCCTGATGCTGCAAGTCTACTCTGACTACATTGAGGATGAGATATCCTCAGTGCCCGGCAGCCGTTCTGAAAACTCACATGAACCAAAGCAAAGATAATGATATGCAGCAGGCCCGCTCTTGCTTGCGCAAATAACACTCCATTCTCCTGCCATTCCGTTGCATGTTGCTTGTCAATTACTCTGGTTGAATTCTCGGCCATGAACACTGCAGCTTGAATTCAGACCCAAGAGCCTCAGCGTAAACTGCTGGGCTGCTGAAACTCCGCAAACTGCTGGGCCCCAAGCATCGAGGACCGCAAAGCCGACCATGTGGCCCTCCTCGTCCTCGACCGTCACGGACATGAAAGAGGTCCTAACCAGAGCGGGCATGAGGACTTGATTTCGGACTGGCTCGAGAACCTCAGCAAGACCTCATGGCCCATGCCAGAAGGATGCTGATACCTAAAAGATTAATCAGTGACAGCGTCAAGCAGCATCCAAAGTTTTCGCACTCACACACGGCCTTTGTCAGGAAACCACTGGCATGTACCCTACCAAAATCTCCGGGTAGCAACCACCTTGTTCAATCTTCTACCCGGCCAAAAAGTATGCCTTGCTGACCATGAGAGATTGAGAGGCCAGTAAGCTCACTGATTAGTGTTGGCTGTGCTGCTGCATGCTGTGACAATTCCAAAATTAAAGGCTCATCCTAAATCAAGAAAGGAAGGATCTGAATGTGAAAGGCAGACAAGATCTAAGAACAGCATCAAAAACTTGCCAAAGCCTGGCATCGCCCTCGGTCTAAGGCTCCCGGCTCTACCAGGGACAGGAGGAACTTCATGCGTAGCTCTTGCTTGAACAAGAAGCCTTTCAGTTGGAGATCTTGTCGGAGTGGAGGTCTAACCTCTATACAGCTTTGCTGGGCCATCAGTCCTGCTGCAGGATTTCGTTCTGTTGAGTTTGACATGCAGGTTTTTGCGATCAGAACGCTGGGCGATCCCTGACGTGACTATGTCCCACCACCGAAACTTGCCAGTGAATATTGGTCAACCTTGTACCCCAAGTCTTGCAAGATCTGAAAACAAACTGAAGGCTCCTCCCCACTCCCGCCAACTCCACGCCTCCCAATCTGTACACCTCACTCATCTCCCACAAACCCCCTGCATGCCATAGAGCCCTACCCCAGGAAGCCTTTGACTTAGAAGATGCGCCTCTCTCACAAATCAAACACAATATACACCTTGAACGCCCTGCCTTTGTCCACGGCATGGAAAATGGCCAAGGCTTCCTCAGCTCTTAAGCATAGCTCTACTTTCCAGGCATACCGCTGTAGGTACTATCGCAAGCGGATGCCCGCCATCTTCGAACCCTACAATCACAGGAATGGGTCCTGACTGGACATTATGGTAGTCGTGGACTGGGGCGAGTGCTGGAGGTTGAAGCCCTGGGGAAGCCGATGGCGGTGATGCCCCGAGCCCCAATCATCTTTACTGAGTAACAGGATCCGCTAAAACCGCAAGCGAACACCGAGCGTCTGAGAAGTTGCCATCACCGTAGAGTCGGTCATACCTGAAGCTGCAGACTTCCAGCTGAACACGAAAACATGAAGGGTAGACTTTGGGCCCGGAATTAATTTAGGATGTTTCATCATGCTTTTGGTCGAAAGGCGGTGGGGCTGGGACTGCACGATCCACGCAATCTGAAGCCAAAATGAGAAGATGGCGCGATTTCAAGGCAAAATGTGAGGATGCCCAACGAATGATATCCATTCCGAAACACAATTTGAAGACGCCCCGCGCGAGAGCTCGATTTCACGGTAAAATGAGACATGATGAAAACTTCTAAAGATAATGTAAGATGATGGAGTAATGAAGCCTATTGAAACATCACGAAAAAGATGAAAGATGATGAAAATGATGAAAAACGTTGAAAATGAATCCAAATCATGACGACGAAGAAAATTGTGAAACATGATGGAAATTGAATTATGAAGGATGTTGGAAATGTATGAAAAATGCTGAAGAGTGTTAGAAATCATGAAAAAGATAGAATCGCTATGAAACATGATGAAGAATTGTGAAATATGATGAAGCATGATGAATATGATGATAAATGATGACAAATTATGAACATGAAGGAAACCCATGCATGATGATGAAAAACTATGAAAACAATGAAAATGATGACCATGACGGAAAATACAAAACCATTGAAATCATGCCACATAAATAACATGATGAACATGATGAATAAATGCAAAGCGATGTGATATATGAAAAACACTGAGATGATGAAAAATCTGAACAATGAATAATGGAAACATGTTGAAAATTTATGCATAATGCTGAAGCATGATTCAAAATCAGGACATTTGAGGAACATGATGTGGTTGATGTCAACTGATGAAAATGATGAAGCATGATGGAAGTTGCCGGGAAAATGGAAAACTGTCAGAAACAACGAAGATGATGGAAAAAACATGACATATGATAACAGACGATGCAGACTGATGGAAATGATGCAAGATGATGACAGCTGCTGGAACAAAATGAAAATGGATATGATGAATAATCACGCAAACTGCTAAGACATGATGTGAAATGATGAACCAAGATGAAAATGATGAAAATATGAGTTGAAAAAGAATTAAGTATGTGAAAAATGATGAATATGATGAAAAACCATGGAAATCTTGAAAAAAGATGAACCAATGAAAATGTTGAAATTTATGAATCACGATAAAATTCGGAAAAAGCAAATATGATACAAAAATCAACTGTGCTGACAGACTATGAATCATTATGAAATACGATGGAAAATCACGAAATATGAGAAAATGATGAAACATGATGAAATGTGTTGGAAACATGTTGAAAATGACGAAATTTGTCTCATTATATACAACAGACAGTGATGAAAATTATGAGAATCTCTCAAGTCATGAAGAAATGACGGAAATGATGCAAATGCTGAAAAGGGATGAAATACCATAAGAAATAATCACGCAGCACGATCAAAAATGTTGGCGAGTGATCCATAACGAGGAGTAATGGTAAAACAACGCTAAAATGTGATGACAATTGGCTTGCATGCATGTGGCTTGTCAAGAAACAGCAGGCGGGGCTAGGGGAGCGCAATCTCTCCCTTTCTTTCAAAACTTAAACAAAGGTAAAAACATGTGCCTTCTTGCGCAGGCTTTGATTTGGCAATGGCAACAAGCCCTACAAGTCAGAACGAGAATGGAAGGAACAACACTTCTAAACCTCTGCAAGCTGCCTTTGTACGAAATCCAGGATAGAATTCAAATGGGAATTGATGAAGACTAGTGAAACATGATGAAGACCGATGAACAGTCATCGATATGACATATACTGAAAAATCATTGAACCTCATGGAGAATGATGAAAAGGATGAAGTATGATGAAATATGACGAAACATGATGAGATATGATGAACATACAGTGAAATGGGATGCGACGAAGGAAAAATGGTGAAATGTGATGAAAGATGAGGAAAATGATGAACAGTTATGAAAAGCTGCAGAGAAACGAGGAAGCATGCTGCAACATGATGATGAACTATGAAGAGATGTGACAAGAAAAGAGTGAACATTGTTAGAACTTGAAGGAACATGGCAAGAAATTGTGTCAACGTTAACATGAAAAAAATGGTGAGACATGATGAAATTATGAAACATAATGAAAACCATGAAGATGATGACAGCCCTCCGGAGAGGGGCCACTCGTTGAGTGGCGAGGAAATGGCCTCGTTACAAATATCTCCGGATGGCATTCACCCACAGTGCCATTGATTCTTACAGTTTGGCTGCGGGAGTTCTAGGGAGGCATCAGGCGCGTGATGCTGGAGCTCTGCTGTTGGTGGGGCTCTTGGAGCTCTGCGTGAGGCAGTCGACAACTCACACCAAGTGCCCATCAGGAGGCTGTTCAGTCAACGCGGTTTCGCAAGACATGGTGGTAACCAGAACATGGTTTCTGGAACTGCCTCTATGAAGCTTGTGGCCTTGGGAAACTGTGGGCAGCCCAGACCAGGATGTACAGTTGCACTTTACATGTGGACTTCTGCTCCAAGATTGCCACCTATCTTGGAAGCCTGGGTCGTTTTTGGCGATCATACATTCTCTTTGCCGTGTCTTGGCGCTCCTCTGGCCCGTGCCACCTGGCCAGGGGCTAGCTTGACCTGTTTTCAGTTTACGACTTTGTCATGTACAGCTTTGACATCTTCACCGGAACTTGTCGGTTTCAATACAGCTTCGACGTCTGGTTCCGATTTCGATTTTGTCTACACAGTCGCCATCTCAGACTTGTATTTGCAGGCCATCGGGCTCAGCCTCAACATTTGGCCCTATGTTACGGCTTGCCAACGCAAATGATTAAAAAACTCCCACTCTCTCCTGTGGCTGGCAAGTGTGAGTTCGGCGGTGCTCTGACGCAGGCCTTTCGGCCAGGTGTTGTGGCCCCACTGCGAACTGGTCTTGTTCCTCTCTGCATTCGCCTTTGCGGTCGTTGTCGTGGATTTCTTCTGGTTTTCCGGGCTGCCTTTGAGAAGATTGGTGCTGGGGTGGGTCCGCCCCCTGCTGCCAATCAACACAGTGAAGAACAGTTGCATCTACTGATGAGTATTCGGTTTGCTTATGGCTGTTGAGCTGCCATGGGGGACCATCAGTGGTTCCTCTGTCAGCGATCCCACGTCGCCAGAGACGCCGACAAGTGGATAGACATGAAGATAATGAAAGTCATGAAACATGATGGAAGAAGATGACAAGCATGATGAACATGTCATTAACAATCTGATGAAAATCGACGACACGTGGTGAAGATGATGAGTTTTCATGGAACACGATGAAAACTTATGAAATTTGGTAAAATATGATGGCGCTCTGAAATGTGATCAAAAATCATAAAGACTCATACAAGCATCATTTTGAAGCATTGTGAAGTATGATTAAACATGGCAAAGAATGAAAACCTCTGAAAATAATGAATTGCTGAACATGATGAGATGATGACAAATTATAGAAACTACTGACAGATGATCAGAGTCATGAAAAAGCATGAACATCATGAAAATGTATGAAGGAAGAAAACTAATAAGAAGAAATGACGAAGACAAAATGATGGAAGTGCTGAAGAAATTGGGTTAGGAGGGCCCAGCACCGGAGGTCTGCGGGGACCGCAGGACCAGAGGACCCCCACAGGACCCCCACAGGACCCCCACAGGACCCCCACAGGACCCAAAGAGAAAACATGTATATATATATATAGTATATGTATGCATATCTATCTATTTATTCATGTATTTAAATATGTCTATATGTATATTCAGAGAAAAAACTCTTGTCTACG